GGGGGAGCCGGCTGCAGCGGCTGCGGCGGCGAGCGGGAGCCGCGCGGGGTCTCCGGGCAGTGCGGCGGCGCCGCGTTTGCCCCCCGCGGGCCCGGGGCAGGACGCGCTCACCTCATGCCCGGCCCCAGGCCGGTGCTGGAAGTGCCGGGCTGAACCCCGCCACACCCCCCGGCTGGGTGCAGAAACCGGCCCAGTTGCACAAGGCCCCGCAGGACTCGCAGCCGGCAAAAGGCGGCCCCTGGCCCGGCTCTCGGGGAGGCAGGTGGGGGCGGCGTGTGGCCCTGCGAGGCCTGCGTGCTGAAACACCGGTGCAGGCCGCAACGCGCTGGTCATGCTGAACCGGGGCATTTGCTTCCCCGACCTGCTCGGAGCCAGGGCTGGGGCCTAGCAAAAGCCGTCAGGCTTTAGCCTGAAAATGCTGGAGGGCCGACATGGGGGCTGCTCCAGCCCCCCTCCGCCCTGCTCTCGCACACCAAGGCAGCAGAGCTGTCGAACGGAGGGAGGAAAAATAACCCAGCTGTAACAATGGCCAAATTACACTGCTGGTAGATGATTAACAGCCTGCCCGGCATGCCGCCTTTGCCAGCTCCTCTTGGTGGACAGCACCAACGGTGGTGCCCAGGCACTGGGGACGTGCACTCAACAGCCCTGGCACGGTGCATGGCCGAGCTGCTCCAAAAGTGCCCTCCTCCCTGCGCGCGGAGCCGCAGTGTCCCGCAAAAGCAAGACAGGCCGAAACCCTGGGATTTAGCCTGGGACGGGGGCGCCTCTCTGGGGGAAGGGTTAATGCCTGGAAGGGGGGGAAACGCAAATAAAATCCCCTAAAGGGCAGAATCTGGGGAAGGAGGGAAGGGAACAAAGTGGATAACCGCCTGACTTGGCCTGGGACAGCTGCCTAGATGCCCCAGCCAGGCCCCTTGTTATGCCACGCCCACCAAGTGCCATTTTGCTCCAAAAAGCCTCAAATCTACCCTTAAAATGCAAAAAAGGGTGCAAATCTGCCCCGCTCCCATGCAGAATCCCCTTTGCAGCTAGCAAGTGAAATATGAGAGGGCTGGAGCCAAGCCTGTGCGTCTGAGATGAAAATACTGACCAGGTTTAGGGGCACCTGCTTTGTTTGGGGAAAGGGGGATAAAATGGGCGAAAGGGCCCCGACGCAGAGGCAGGGGAAGGCCGGGCTGCTGGATCTTATTCCCCAAGACCCTCTCCTAGATGGGGATGTGCAGGGTTTCACCCAAAGATAGCCCATTTTGTTAAGCCTTTGAATATTCAAATTGAAAGTATCGCGCAATCATTGATTGTCAAATCATTGGTTTCTAGAGGTTTTAAATACTTGGCATTAGAGAAGAAAATCTCAAACTTATATCCGTAGGTATAAAACATTAATATTGTTGTCTCCACCTGGAATCTGCACAATGCGATCGGGTAGGTTTTTCCCCCTTATTTTAAAATTCCTCTTCTCTTGTCCCCTTCTTCCCCTGCATCTAGGAGCTGAGGTTGGGGAATCTTTTGCTACAACATCAGCTGCTGGGGAAGGTGCTTTGGTCCCACACAGCATGTCGGGTAAGTTCCCTTTTCCTTTTTTCTCCCCCATTTGGGGGCCTGTTGGTAATGCGGATCCGTGATTTTTTAATTTCCCCCCCTCTTTTGGGGGCCACTTTCCCTGCCAAGAACAACAAGAAAAAAAGTGGAAGGCAGGGAGGTGGGGAGAAAAAAACCCGAGGGAAAGTGACTGATTTTGTTATGCAAAGTGCAATCAAATCAGGCTTTTCGATGGATCCAACTGGATCTCCCGGGCTCTGCTGAGCAGTGGCTGTGGCACAACATACACACCCACCCAGGAGGGAGATGCGGAGGCAGGCAGTGTCTGCGCGCAGGAATGCGGGGGCTCCCACGGCCCATTGTTCCCGGCCTTTCCGCTTGTGCAAAGAAAGAAAGAAAGAAAGAAAGAAAGAAAGGGAAGGGAAGGGAAGGGAAAAGCCGGCCGGCGGCGCGGCTGCCGAGCCCGGCGCGGGCCGTGCGGCTCCGGCCGG